CCACTGGGAATGGCTCATTGCCTGCACCGCAAACCGTAGATACACAAAAGTCTCGGAGGCATCGGGTTTTTCGTAGCCATCTTACTCATCCCCCAACTTCTACTTCCCCTTGCTCGACTGCTGAGGTCTCGAGCACAAGTCGTCGCCGTTGACCCTGCAGACCTGATACAGGTTCACGTTCCCGACAAGGCAGGGCACCCTGGAGGGGCAAGAGGAGGCTTTCGATGCAGGAGTGATTCCACGACGACTCCCACGACGATTCCGCTACACGGACAACAGCCCATTGCCAAACGAGTCGTATTCCGAGTAGTGGAAATAGCTGTCGCACTACCAGCATGATTTGAGAAGTACGAAACTGCTGCTCAAGATGACGAGGATCATCACAGTATGACCGCAGCACAAGACGGACGCAGCACACCTGGCACAGAGTGTTTGGGTGCATGGTTGTTGCAGGAGGACAACCTGCACCCTCTAAGCCCAAATCCTCAGCCACACACGCCTTGGTAGCCTTACAGTTGGCTTGGAAGATTTTGGGGATCAAGTTTGAAAGTCACAGACTGCTAGTTCAATGTCCCTAACCTTTGCTTTCTGAATTTCTGTATCTTTTTCTTTTTCTTTCTCTTGCTCTGGACCTTTATCTTTCTGCACACTGTGCAGACACCTGCATCGGAACAAGAGGAGGACGAGGCGATATGGGTGGAAGATACAGGGAGAGAGAGAGAGAGAGAGAGAGAGCGAGAGACAGAGAGAGCAAGAGGGAGAGAGAGAGGGGAAGGTAGTTATGTGTGTACGTATAGGTACAGAGACAGAATGCATACATGCTTATGGGAATGTCAGAACAGCAAGCTGCCACGCAGTCGGATCTGCGTTAGAAGGACCCCCTTAAACAAGGAGCCCTACTTCCGAGGACCCAGCCCTCATAAATCTCCTAAAGGAAACCAAAGCGCGGATCTCCTTCGTTAGCTGCAGACCTTGGCTTCCCGGACCAAGCTCCCTGGCTCTCAGGATTCGAGCGAGGCAGGGCCTCCACGGCGAAGAACCAACGTCCTTCCTTTCTTTACCTTGAAGTACGGGTTGCCTTGTTGATTCAGGGCTCTTTTGGGGTTTCTAGGCAGCTTTCTTGAGATGAGGGAGACCTTGTTTCTGTGGTCCTTCTAGCTAGGATCCGGCTGTTGGTGTTCCTTCTTGTCCGAAGCCATTACACGGGGCTTGGGGTTCTTGCAGGAGCTAGGGTTCTGGGGTCATAGGTTTCCGGTTCGGGTTCTGGGGTTTCAGGTTTTCGGGTTGCAGGGTTTTGGGACCATAGTTTTTGTAGGGTTTTATTCTGGGCTTCAGGGCTTAGAGTCGCAGGTCTCGGGTTTGAGACAAGGTTGGGTTTTCAGTTTAGGGTTATCTGCTCTTACTTCGTGTTTTTGTAAGTTCAGTGTCTTCCCATCCCCAGAGATGTTCTCTGAAGGAGTTCATGACGGGTGTGGGTTCAAGTGTTGAGCGTGTCAGAGAATCGCTTTCATGTCGCAGTTCGTGCAAGGTTAAGACTAGGGTTTGACTCAGGGGCCAGGCCCAGTGAGCAATTTGTGTGGCATCCCAGAATTAAGGCATCCAGGGCCTTTGCCGGAGTGGCATGCGCTTCGGCCACAGAAATTGCCCAAAGACAGCTCAAGAATTGAAAACGAAACTACGTAGAGGCCGAGGCTGCGCTAGCCAAACAAGGCTTTGGTTGTCTGTGCTCCGGAAGTGAGGATCCCTTCTTTCTCGGCCCGCCGTCTCCAGGTCTCTTCGTGCTTCGGTCTCTCCTGCAGCGGGGAGGCCCTTGTGGGCACCGCAAGTTTGAACACTTTGGGGTGTTTGGGTTCTGGGCGTCGTCTTTCTTTCTGACGGCTCTGAGAGGAAATCTCAGACTTTCGGTCAGTTGCAATCTTGCTCAGTGCATCTCCAAGGAGTCCGAGGATCCGTGCTGACTCTGTCACAGCACGAGATTGGCAAGCCGTGCCCTTCCGTGGATTTCGTCATCAGAAACAAAGCTTCGACCTGCTCTTTGCGAATGAAACTAGTGCATGACCTATGCTTTCGTACAGCGCGCATCTTCCAGGCCGAGATCATGACACAGAAAAACTTTTTGGAGTGGTTGGAGGGCGACACCAACACGCAGGAGGACCCGGGAAGGTGGAGATTGCAGCTTGGGAATCGGGGCGCATTAATCGTGGGACTGGTTGAGGGTGTAAGGTTCAGGGTTTACGGTGCACCAGTGACACAACCAGGTACACAGGGAAGAATTCCAGTCGCCGTGGGATTCAATCGGGAGAACTGTTGCAAGAAAGATACCAGGGCTGACAACCAAAAGAGCACCAGGACAGAAGGTCAGAGCAGTACGACCAGCTAGAGTCAGAACCTTACCCGTGCGAGAACTCGGAGCAGAATCAGGGGGACGATATTGCGAACGATTTTCTATGAGTGAATTGTTTTGCTTTCGTGGGTTGGAAATTTAAATGAAAAAGTTATCGGAAAAGAACATTGATGTTCCTGAGGTATCGTGCTTTTCTGAAGACGACGCGGTAAATCCACAAATACTTTAGTGACCATGTCTAGATGTGAGACACAGACATTATAGGTACTTAGTACCACGGCTATGCACTCGAGAGGGCCAGGTGACATAGATCACAATTCTCATAAGTCGAAGCAAGGATGTCATACTGTCGTATTGAGTGCCCTTGAATTTCAAGCAGGTTTGAGTGTGTAAAGGACATAGATACAGAGTTTGAATTAGTCACATGGACTTGATCGACCTCTCCACGCACCTCCCCCCGAACCCAGACCCGAATGGACCCTGAGTGGACCCTGAAGTTTAAAGCCACGACCCTGAGCCCTCGCTTAGACTCCACATGGAGGACGAGGAAGCATGTCCCTTCCTGGGTCCCTGCCTGGAGATCGACTCCGAAGCGCCTGTTCTGATGTTTTCCGGAGCGCCCAAATACCTTGTAAGTCAGGAACATACACTAAATCATAGTAAGGATGCCTCCTTGGTTTCAGGTCTACTTCTTACTTACTTAACGAGGGGGTATCGGGCTCTTTGCTTGTTGTGATTGAGGTGAGTTGTCAGCGTGTACTATTGAGAGTATTTGCCCCTTCCAACAGCACGAAACTTGAAAAGCTCTACTGCTATTGACAATCGATAAGCCGCTCTGCCCTTCAACCCCAAACAAACCCCGAAGCTTCAGCACCGGTTGACCGAACCGTCGGAGAGAGGCCCAGCCTGTCCCAAGTCGCCATTGCAGCCTTTTTCAGCCGAACCACCGACACCTTGGACTGTCGGTCCCAATACGGCCCTGAACCCAAAGGCCCGAGGAATGCATCCCGACGGAACGGGCCTACCATCAGAGTTCCCAAACCCTCGCCGTTCACCCGTGGCCTCCGGCGCCCAGGACGGTAGCATGCATTTCCTTTGTGCGGCACGGGTGCGGCAGTTTCAACGAGAGGATCATGAGCAGGCAAGGTCTGCAAGGTCCGACTCTCCAAGCTACAAAGCTGTGAAGTCCGATCAATAGAACTCATGAAGCATGAGAAATCCCATCGCGGTGCCAATGTGCCCCTGTCGTGGGATGTTTTAGCATTCGTGCATTTCGGCGCCCCAAAAGACATGGCATTTGCTCGTCGTCTCAAGACGGCGGGCGTGGCTCGCTGCGGTTCCAAAGCCGAGCTGTCAGCGACCGCCCCTGGAGCTCAAGGCTTAGCCGAGACTGACTCAGGTAAGCTAGTATGAGCCGAAAAAAGTCAACATTTTCGTTTCGCTACGAGGACATGAAGGAGTTCAGCCGTCCATAGCTTGAACATCCCCAGAGTCTCTAGCAGAAATCAGAATGCTTCTGCGCCTTGAGAGCTCTGCCTTGCTGGAAAGTCTGCCCACGACCGCGCAGACAAACCGACCCGCACTCTTACAGTTCAGCGCTCGAACGCAGACTGGGTCAATCTTACAGGTTTCGTTTGTCCAGGTTCCAGTACGTCGACCTCACTGAAGGATGGTTTTGAAGGGGCTCCTAAACTAGGGGTCCGTTTTGATTTTGGCGCGTCCCAGGTTCAGGATCCCATTGTTCAGGTTTGGGCCTTTTTGCCGAGCTCATCGGGCCTGGAATGAGCAGCTTGGGTGCTACTAGGGTGCTTGGGAGAGATTCGTGACTGAGCGCTATGCATGTAAGCGTGAGTGGCCACCATGGCCTGGTTTGCTTCCTCTGGAGTGTATCGGCTGCATGCAGGAAGTGCACCATGCACCCACAGTAGAAGTAAGAAGGGATAGCATTGTGCCAGCCCCAGACCTTCTCCTCTACCCCCGATCTCTACACCCTCAATCCTTCACAAACTCCACACCCTTGACCCTAAACCCGGAGCTCTAAACCCCACATTGTAGCACCGACCATTGCGGTCCCGGGTCGGCTCCCTGGCGGCTTGTGGCACCTGGCTTCGACGAGCTCCTTTCAGCAAGCCCATGCATGTATTGTCAGGCGGGGTCAAGGAGTTGAAGCCCATAGAGGGAGACTCGGGCCGTACGGAGAGAAATAGTATATGTTTCTAAAAAAATGATCAGGCGATGACCCGTACTACAGGGGTTGTCATTTCGGAATCCTGTCCGATCATGTTTGACCAGGCAGCATGGTGCGTTGGCGCCAAGCCGCTAGGACTTCTGAACTGAAATTCCGTGAGCAAGTTCCGGAGCCCCCCACGCTAAGAATGTTGCTAAACTAGAAAAGGATTCCTGGTAAGTGTGATGCAATGTAGACAGCAGAGTCAAGGGGATTAGTAGAAGTGTTCTTCCTAAGGGTCCCCTAATGACCCTAATGCGTTGATCACGTAAAACCTCCGACATCCTAGTCTAATTATTCTGGCTTCCGTGTTTACATCCGAGGCCCCGTGACTCACCCCTTAGATCCGCTAGGTTTCTGTGCCCAGACCTGGTCAGTCTGGACGTGAGAAACTTAAGATCCACTGCCCAACGCTCAGGATTGAAAGGCATGGGTGTCGGAGAGCGCCCGATTGGCTCGATGGGCAAGGCAGCGAAGCGCCCACCTTGTCCGGCTGAGGTTCAGCAATTGGGGTTCAGCCAAGACATGCAGCCCCCTTGGTTCTTGAACAATATACTGCTAAGATACCGCTGATCAGCCTAACTGAAGAAATCCGGAAGCTACCTCGCGGTGTAAGTTCTTAATTTGATGCCTTGGAGTTGAGCCCCTGTCGGTGTGTTTGCCGCCCCCAAGCGGCGGAGTGGGAAGCCTTCCCCTGCCGCTTCTCGGACCAGTCTACTCCAAAGCCTTATCCGGCTCCGTAAGCTGCTGGAGCTGCCTTTAGCCCAACACCCAGCCCTAACGAAGCCCTGAATTCGGAATCTCCAGAACCTTAGCTCCAAAACCCAAATCCTAAAGCTTGAGCCCGAAGCCTTAAATTCCATTCCCCACAGGGCAACATCCTTGAACCAAAGACTCTCTCCTGTTTTGAAGCTGTGAAGGTGTAGAGGAATGTAGTAGTAGCAGTTCAACCTCGGGCTTGGGAGCTCAGGCTCAGGGACGCGATTCAGGTTTGGACTCACGCTTTGAAGGAGGTAAGTAGGGAGGGAGAGTTCGAGATCCGGCAAAACGCTTATTAGCGTGGGGCTTGCAGTTCTCGTACCTCCAAGAAGCCCAACCACTGTCAGGCTGGATGTGGGAGATGTGTATGCTTTGCCGCCTGGTGTTGTTCTAGTTGGCTTGGGCGTAAAACCCAAGCGCATTGTGCCGTTTCGGGTGATTCGTTCTACGGCACGCTGGTTCGCTTCGTGCCAGCTGTGCCATGTCGGTGCCGCTTCCCGCTACGGCCTGTTGCGCCCATTGAAGTGCCATTTCTGTTGCTTCACTGTGGGATGCAGTCTCGACATTCCGAGTGTGATTCCTCTTGCTGTGTCACAAGTGGCTTAAATTAATAGTCGTCCTGTGTGGGCGAAGTTTTGGGGCTTAGGCTCAGAGGTTAAGCAGTGAATTTAGAGTAACAGAACTGCAATCGCAACAGGATTCGTTTTCATGATGCTTCTCATGGCGGCCGTTGACGTACATCCAAGATGCTAGCTGGTCGTCGTTGTCACAGGGGCCCGCCTCGACGAAACCACTACGGAGTAACCCTGCATCACATAGACCTCTTGACGATCCACTACGCTACTGCAAGGAGCCTTGAAGTGCAAAAAAATGACTAAGGCTACGGCACAGATCAGCCGTTGCGATGCCAGTCGACCAGAGAACTGGTATCTTCTGTGAAATTCTGACACCATGAGCACCCACAAGATCGCCGAGATCCCGGAACCTCTAAGTCATGTAGGGGTTCGCGTTTCGATGCCTCGCCCAAGGCGGTGAGGGCCATGTTTTGGGGCGTCATGATGCTGGCGGCATTGGGCAGCTTGGTCCGGAATCCGAAACCAGGATGGGAGCGCATAGTCTTTACAATTTTATGCTTACCTCGTAAGATGTGTTCCTTGACCACATACCCCCCAGTCTTCAGATGACGACGTTCCCAAGTTTTGACTGGAAGCGCAGTCCTTCAACCTCCAAAGGACAGCCTTGACGGCCCAGGCATCGTGTCCATGTTTGTCACAAACATCAGCTTTTACAAGAGGACGCACAGGACAACAAGGACGTTGGGCTTGGGCTTGTTTGTGGGGGGGGATTCTGTGGGGAAGTGCTTTGGATTCTGTGGGTCTTGCCACGGGGACGCGCTCCGACACCAGCTTCTGAACTGCATGGGGCAGCTGGCCCTGAACTCGCCCTGAACTCCAGGCCCAGGCCCAAGACATTCGTAGTTTTTTTTTACCAGGGTGTCGCGGTAAGTGATAACATCATAACACAGTGACGAGAGCGCGCGTGAGAGCTCGGAGCTTCTGTACTCAACCCTCCACCTTGTACCCGACCGGCGCAAACCAATTGAACCCAACGACCCAACACTAAAGCGTCAACAACACCTCAGCTAAGCGAAGACCCCACATCCCCAAACGCATCAACCGGATCCCCCAAACCCCACGTCCCTAGAAAGGCCTGCATATGCATGCATAAGCTTGAAGTCTGCCTGGAGGCTCCTCGTCCTCGCTGACAGTTTCTGGAAAGCTGGCTTCTACAGTGTCTCCATCCTCGGCCACTCGGGGGACATTCTATAAACAAAAACATGCTTCCTTCAAATCTCTCACCATGTCTGCAGAGACTTTTCTCTCGGCTTGCTTTAAATGGCGCCGTCGGCTCTTGTGCATGTGGGATTAGCAAGGGCTGAGGGTTCTTGTGACTTCGAAATTTGGGGGGAAGCAGCCTGTATCGCTGTGCCCTTCCCTTTGAAGGTACTTGGAAGCCCGCAAAGGCAGCAAAGCCTTAAGAAACGCCCAGACCTGAGCCCCTTTCAAGCGAATTTCAGGGAGACACCACACAAGCAGCCAGCAAGACACCAGAGAGTCCTAAAACTCGTATGCTTTTTGAAGTGTGGGGCGGTGTCAAATCCCAGGAGTCTTGACGGTGCTCTCTGCCCTGGTCCACGGCAAGAACTCTTCAGACCTCCGCCTGGGAGCTTTGAGATTCTTCCTGTGCCAACCCATAACCGCCATAACCCAGACCCTCAACTTCTTAAAACCCATTTACCCGCTATAAGGATGCTTGGGGCTGGGGATTCAAGGTAACTTGTCTCGGACACCAGAAGCCTTGAAGGCTAAAGCTCTGAACCCCAACGCTCAAAGCCCGAACCCCTTCAATCACGGTTTCGGATGTGGGGCTAGGGATCCGCTTTCCTTTGACAAGTCCAGGCCAGGGGTTCAACTTGGATAGGCCATTTCCAGATGAAGCTGCCTTTCTGGTGTCTGCGAAATGGCCACAGCCCGACACTGTCGGGACATGGTGAGCCCTACTTTATTTGGACCGGGCCCAATATCCACTGCTCTAGCAGACTGTATTCGCCGGAACTTCGGCCGTGAATGCGAAAACCGAACGAGCCGACACCACTGGGCGCCATGCAAGCGTGAGGTCCGCGGTCTTCTGGAGATTACATGTTCATGACGCCCCGCTGTGCCTGGTAAATCCGACAAGTTGTGGCACATATGAACTTCAACACCAAGTTCAAGAAATTCCCCGAGCCAACCATAGTTCGAAAGCCACATGCACGCCCAGGAGGATAGTGTCAAGGACTTCTGGCAGGGGACGTGCCACGGTTGGCAGTGGAAAGGGACTTCACTTTCGGCAAAGTTTAGGGTATGTTATGCTGCAGTGTAGGATTGTATTCGAGCCTAAATCTGAACAGAATGCTTCCTCAGGTCTTTCATTGCTCAAAGGGCGGTATTTTCTGATTTCACCGGGGCCTTACAGTGGTATACATGAATGATATGCGCATGCAGTCCATGTATCATGATATTGCCACAGCCCCAAAGCCCTATTTCTTCTTAGTGGTGCGCAAACATTCTTCACACGTAAAGTAAAGCCCCTCTTCCCGAGGAAGGTTCTCCTACTGAGTCTTTTGCTTCCTTCGACTTACGCAGGCGCTTCGTCGATCGGAAGAGCTTGCAGCAGCGCGGTTTCATCATCCAGCCCCTAGGCCCGGCCTCGGCGGCCCTGGCAAAGGATAAGAGCGATCGAGTGAGAGCTTCACCGCGCACCTCTGTAGAATGCAAAAGGATTGGGGGGAGGGCGTTTGGCTGAAGCTCTTCTTCCGGAGGTCTCTATTTCCTCGGCGGCTTCCTCTTCATTACGCAGAGACTCGGCCTGGGATGGGCTTTGAGCTTGGAAGCTTCTCCTGAAGGGTCGCAATGCCGGAGAGGCGTGGCATTCAAGAAAGAGGTCATGGGTAGTAGTGGTAGTAGGAGACATTCTTGCGCAATTTTTGAAGTAGCAGCAACAACGATCATGTGCAGCTCCAATCTATTCAGTGTCAGATGACTGAAACTCAGTTCTTCTCGTTACCAGCCTTCCAATCCGAATGAAGCCATTGTATACCTTGATCCCCCAACTTGTAACCTGAGGCCCTCATGTTTTCGGGCTTGTTGCTTTGCACGATCGTGATTGCAACTGCAACCTTTGATGTGTTCTACTCCGTGAGAGTCTGAGAGTGTAGCTGCCGAGAGCTTTCCAGTATCTCGGGATCTCGTGGCTTCCAGAGACTTCCAGCACCCCTTGGCCAAACAAGAGTAGAATTTCTTGAGCCACTGCACCAGATCTTTCCGGAACCCTGTTCATTACATCGTCGCACCTGCACTTCACTCCACGAAAGAAGGAATCACTAACCACAGGGCTCTGCAATCTTCCGCTATTGATGATGCCAAGGGTGGTCCTAGAGGAGAAGATCATACCAGGAGCTGAGTTGGTATCCCAGAAGTCTGAACAGCGTCTCGGCGTCACAGGCAAAGCCGTTGGACTCCAGTGCCGTGCAATCGTCTTTGGCAGCTGCCACCACCACACCACCAGACCACCAGACCACCAGACCACCAGACCACCAGACCACCAGACCACCAGACCACCAGACCACCAGACCACCGCACCGCACCACCGCACCACCGCACCGCGCACCAGCAGACCACCGCACCATCGCACCGCCGCACCACCACACACCACCACATCACCGCACCACCACACCACCACATAGTAAGTCGCAAGTCGCAAGTAGTAAGTAGTTAGTAGTTAGTAGGCAGAAAGACACGCAGTGGCAGTAACACAGGTAGTAGAAGTAGTATAAGAAGAAGTAGTAGTAGTGGCAGCAGCAGGAGTAGTAGTAGTAGTAGTAGTAGTAGTAGTAGTAGTAGCAGTAGCAGTAGCAGTAGTTTAGTAGTAGTAGTAG